AAAGTATTCATTAACACGTGACCTTTAACCCAACCATAAGTGTTTTGTGCTAGCGGAGGTATCGTTTATTGTTCACAAGCTCATTTTGAAATATGGACTATATTTTTTAAGCATACACTTTTTTTCTTTTTTTTAGAAAAACACAAGTGATTCCCGTGGTTCCTCCACCTCTGAAGATAGTACGTCCCTTAATGAAGACCATTACTCCTTGCTTACAGACAACTCAGAATCATGGAGTACAGCTACTAGAAAACGGACTCAAACTCTGCCTATTACAAACTTTAATATGCCCAGAAAACAAGATGACAGCAGTACCAGCACTTTTAACAAAGCAGACTTTTTTGCCAGTGATTTTTGGGGGTCCCCAAATGGAAAGTCAAATTTATTGTCATCTCCTGGCCACAAGCGGACCCTTTCAGAGGAATTTTCCCAACAGCGTATATCAACCTATGATAATGTCCCTATACCTCAAAGTGGCAGTGATAGCAGCAAACTGTATAGCTCTGGTGCCGAAAGTCCTGTAACTAAGGAAAGTAAAGAACCTAATAAACTCAGTTCTGGCGTCCTTAGAAATGGCGTAGATTGCCTTGTTCCTGAGAATAGTGAAGGCAACAGTTGTGGCTTGTTGGTCAATGCACTGGAGGAAATGAAAGTTCACAAGAAACAACTTCAAGAAAGAGTGAAAAGGTAACACTGGTGGTTTTCATTCTTTGGTCAAAACTTCTTAAAGTCTTAAGCTGGCTGCTTTGGGACGTGTCTGGGGCATTTCTTTCCTATGATACATCAGTAGGGTGAAGCCCCATAGGTCCTTTTTCTGAGACTTATTTATCAAAGTGTGCATATTGCACCATAGTAACCACACAGACTCCAAAGCTCATTTCCACCGTGAGTCTTATTGGTTGAGGAGACTCAGAAAATGTATCCATTCTGTTTCAGTTGGGTGAGATGAAGAAGTAGCTAGGCAGCTATGCACATACTTGCAGGGGTAGAAGGTTGTTTTGAAAAATGAGTGGTTAAGGGTGTTAGTGTTATTGTTAACAAATTGCCAACCATTGGTGTACAGGTAAATACCTTATCTAAGTATCTTAACCAGTTGACATCCGCGGTGTTAAACCCCCTTCCCATCCAGGCCATTTTTCAGTATTCAGCGCTGCGGTACTTTAACTGACATTTATTCCGTCATAAGACTAAGGTCCCATATACACTGAGCGATTCGCAAATCGTGCATTTGTTGCGCGATTTGCATTTTGCGCGATATCGCGCAAATGCTTGCATTGAGCAAGCTAGAATCACGGCAAAATCCGCTCCAAAAAGGGCCCTGCTGTAGCGACGCACGACCCGCGACAGCGACGGACAGAGCCCCATTGCCATGCATTGGAGAGCTATATCGCGCGGTAAATAGCCGTGATATCGCGGGAATTACCGCGCGATAAATCGCTCAGTGTGAATGGGGCCTAAGACTAAATCACTGGCTCCATCTGTTAGCTGGGTAGCCAGTTCATATCCCGTGTCTCAGAAATGTAGACATAAACTCCTGTGTATATAAAACCAACAAACAGTGATCACAGGCTTTATTGATAAAGACATTGTAACAATCTTATTGTTACAATGTATTTATACTAGTTATCTAATGGAAAGCTCAAATAAGTGATTGATATGACATTGATATGGACACAATGCCCAGCATCCTCATAAGTATAAAAATGTTTTTACACATAAATTGTTTATATTTATTAATAGTTAATTAACAAAAATCAGCATTAATTAACTTTTTCCTCTACTTCTCCCTTTAGCAATTTTTGTATGCTGCTTTTTAAGTTTTTTTAAGATTTAATGATACATTTTTTTTCTTTTTCATATGATGTTTGTTTTTGTAATGTTCCATAACAAGGCTTCTAGCTGGCTACAAGGCCACAAATTTAGTAATATTATTATTATTATTGTTATTATTATTATTATTATTATGCAGGATTTATATAGCACCAACAGTTTGCGCAGCGTTTTAGTAGTTGTTGTGAAGCCTGCTAGAAGCACTTCAAAAAGTCAATTGCTTAGCGACTGAGCTACAAAAAAGAGCTTAATACATGGAAAAAGGTCAATTTCTCAGTGACTAGGCTGCACAACACTAATTAACGCAACAAAGGTTACACACTATGGGGGGAATTTACCAAAACTGGAGCAGCTGTGCATGGCAACTAATCAGCTTCTCTCTTCAGTTTGTTAAGTTAAGGTTTGAAAATGAAAGAGAGAAGCTGATTGGTTGCCATGCACTGCTGCTCCAGATTTTGTCTGCTTTGATAAATTCCCTTCCCCTATGAAAGCCTATTCCACCTCAACCTAACCACTGAACCATCACATTCTCAAATAATTCATCCCCACACAGCTACCTCCTCATGTATCATTTCCCCCTCTTCTTTCAGAATGTAAGCCCTCAGGGGCAGGGCCCTCCTTACCATCTTGTCTTGAATTGTAGTGATTGTAATGTCTTCCTTATATTGTAAAGCGCTGCGCAAACAGTTGGCGCTATATAAATACTATGTAATAATAATAATAATAGCCATTCAGAGCATTTTCATTAGCCAAAACTGGGCGGCTATTATTTTAATGTATCAAATCTGTGGCGAATGTGCAGGGCATGCAACATTTGTTTTTCCGCTGAGTCATTTAAGAGGAGGTTGAGTTCCAGCCGAACTGAGTCAATCTCTTTCCGTAAGGCGATCGAGGGGGCAGTGTTCCAATCAGACTCGAGTCTCCCCAATGTGGTGGAGAGATCTAAGACCCTTTTGGTCCGTTCCCTCTTTCGGCGAGTTGCTAGACTTATGAGCTCGCCCCGTAAGGTCGCTTTGTGGGGTTCCCAGACAGAAATCGGGGAGGTGACCGGCAAAGCGTTCTCCGCAAAGAAGTGGGAAAAGCACAGTTGAATGTGTTGGGCAGAGTCAGCAAAGGAGAGAAGGGAGTCATTCAATCTCCAGCGGAATTGAGAAGAGGCAGGGAATAGGGATTTGCAAGTGAGGGACATAGGGGAATGGTCCGACCAGGAGGCCGAGAGAATGCGGGCGTCACCGACGGACGGGAGAAAGTTGGGCTGTATAAAGATGTGGTCTATTCGGGAGGAGCTAGCGTGGGGGTGTGAATAGAACGTGTAGTCTCTGGTGGTTGGGTAGCGATCTCTCCAGACGTCAATAAGGTTATGTTCGTGTAATAGAGTACGGAAGAGGGGGGGCAGGGTGAGATTGGTGTGGTGATGAGTGGGGGATCCCAGCCATTATTAGGGTTCCCCTTTTATGATTCTCAGCCACCGCCAATAGGTGGGAAAAAAAGCGAGTTTGGTGAGTGTTGGGTGCGTAGTAGGTAAGCAGTGTTACGTCCACATCGAAGATTGTGCCCTTTAACAATAAATATCTACCCGTAGGGTCTACTATTTCTTGGGTGCATACAAATGGGGTGTTTTTATGGAATGCGATGAGGACACCTCTCTTTTTTTCACAGAACATAGCCTGGAATATCTGTGGATAGTTTTTGTGGAAGTAAGTAGGATGAGAGGTCATAGAAAATTTAGTTTCCTGTAGGCATACGATGTTGGCCTGGTGGGATGAAAAGTAGTTGAAGGCCAACGTTTGCGGGGTGAGTTAAGACCTTGCACATTGTGCGAAATAATTTTTAGGGATTGTCCAGACATTGTTATGTTAGTGCGGGAAAAGCGATGCTAACACAGCAACTGTGAGGTTGGTTAAGTGACTTGGGATTATCCAGACTAGGACCAGTGCCGGGGGAGAGAGCTGGGAAAAGGTATAGCTAGAAGAGTGAAGAATAGTAACATTCCATAACATTCCATATCAGCAATATAGCTTGTATCTGTTATAAATGTTATAGGTAATATGAATGTTATAGTAACCACATTTTCCCATTGAAGAACAGATGGTGGTGAATGTGGGGGGATTTTTTTATTCACTCATTAAGTGTGTTGTAAATGAGTAGCAATGAATTTATAACTAGCACAAATGTTACCCAGTGAATGTGTTAGTGAATCCTTAAAGGGACACTAAACTCAGGAATTAAATTTAAAAAATGCGTTCAAGTACCTTAGCTATTAACAAAAATGTATCTTATTAGTGTATCACTCGGCTGTAGATCCTCAAATCACCTCTGAATTGGTGCTGACACTGTCTTTGCTTCTGGAGGGTGACTACTTTTGTTTCCCATGGTCCCTGTCTATGTATTGTCCCTGTGTGTGCTCCAAGCTCGCTCCTGTGATGGACTACAATCTCAATACAAATTAGTAAACTAAACATGAGATTGTAGTCCATCATAGGAGTGAGCTTGGAGCGGTGGCTACTTTACAACACACACAGGGACCATGGGGAACAAAAGCAACCACCCTCCAGAAGAAAGGACAGTGTTAGCACCAATTCAGAGAGGATTTGAGGATTAATAGTTAATGTACTTGAATGCATTTTTAAGATTTAACACCTGAGTTTACTGTCACTTTAAGACAAAAAAAATAGACCTGTGAAAACACATGTACCTAAATCTGACTTTTTATTTTTGTACATCTTTTTTAGCCTAGAAAAAGAAAACTTTGAAGTGTGGAAAAAAGTAGTCAAATTAAATGAAGATATGGAAAAAGAACAGAATCAGCGGAAGGCTCTAGAAATCACATTGCAGAACATGGAGCGATCACGAAATGACGCAGAGAAGAGAAACAAGCTCCTGGAGCAGGAAATCCAAGGCTTTGTGAGAGCAATGAGCCAAGCGGGAAACAAGCCGTAATAGATACATGATTTCTATAAGAAAAAATGAAATAGGAATCTACACTCTGGAAGAGCTAGTGACGAAGAAGCAGTGTATGGTGGACACATGGACAAACACAGCGGGATGACTGCCTTGAGCTGCCAGTTGACAGTGACATTGCACAAATCCAAATTGTCATTAGCTCAAAATGCCTCTTTTCGTTTAATCTTAGTACAAAAATATATTTTGTAAAGACTGTTTTTGCTGCACCTTAGTACAATGCTTCCCTTTGCACTTACCTAGTGTGCCCATAGGGTAAATAATACCTTACAGTGCTGGATTTGAAGTAAAAAGTGGACAGGATGTATAAAGTACACAATTCCACATGTGTACACAAAACTGAACTTTGCTAAGCTCTATGTGCCAATAGTGTTTATAGACTGTCATCAGTGAGCCAACTACAAACTGTTATCAAACATTTACCATGGAGGTACCTTTGAAATATTTTCAGGTCTCAGGAACTTCTGCCAATAATTACCTAAAATTTACAGCTCACAGTGCATTGTTCTAATTAGTAAATTGAGACATAAGAAGGAATAAAGAATAAGGAATGTGTTTGACAGCCATGACTGCCTTTTACAACAAAACTATTTGCTGTTGGTTGTCAGTGAAATGCTCCCTTAGTTGGTGAACAGTGGGAAACATTTTCCTTATATTGGTGGTCATTGGGAAGATTGACCCTGGAGGAACTTTGATCCTTACAATAGTGGTCAGTGGGAAGAATGACCGTCTTACAAAAAGCTAAAAAGAACATTGGCATTAGAGGTACATACCCGAGAGTCAGAAATTGCTCATTGCTCAAGGAAGTCCCAACAACTTCTGGAGGAACTCTTTGGTACCATGGAACCCTGGTTGAGAAAGGCTGCTGTAGATGCTGTCGAAATGTTTGATATAATAAGAAATTAAAGTGACACTAAACTCAGTGTTAAATCAGGAGTTAAATCTTAAAAATGCTTTCAAGTGCCTTACCTATTAACAAACCTGTACCTAATTTGTGCATCGCTCAGCTGTAGATCCTGAATTGGTGCTGACACTGTCCTTCCTTCTAGAGGGGGGCTACTTTTGTTCCTCATGGTTCCTGTGTGTCTTGTAAAGTAGCCACCACTCCAAGCTCACTCCCATGATGGACTAGAATCTCCTATTTAGTTTACTAATTTGTATTGAGATTGTAGTCTTTCACAGGAGTGAGCTTGGAGCATTGGCTATTTTATAATACACGAAGGGATCATGGGGAACAAAAGTAGCCACACTCCAGAAGGAAGGACAGTGTCCGCACCGATTCAGAGATGATTTGAGGATCTACAGCTGAGCGGTGCACAAATTAGGTACAGGTTTGTTAATAGTTAAGGTACTTGAATGCATTTTCAAGATTTACCTCCTGACTAGTATCGCTTTAAGGAACTGAGGGTGAGCAGCCCAGGGGAACTTGTGTTAAGCCACAGATGTGGTCAGCTTTAACAGCCCTTCCTGCTTTATCCATAGCTTCCAGGTTACCAATAATTGGTGTTTTGACATTGCCCTTTATTTCTGCAATGGAGGAGAGACTACTATCTGGAGATTGTAACATGAGGTGGTAGAACATGCAAAGATGGGTGAAAACATCCAGAGTTGGGAATTATTAAAGGGAGTAATCGCTGTTTGAGTTTTACTCATTCAGCCTACTGACCTCCCCTATAACATTTTAGGTGTACTGATGGATGTTGGATAGTCAGTGGGTCCTATAATCTTGTTATACCAGGCCCCTTCAATGTCTATACTGACTTATTCCATTATTTGAGCCATTGTGTGGTTATCCTAGTTTACAGTATAATTGTAGGTTAAAGACAGCAGATCATTGGTGACAACGAGTTCTTAAATTATTCTTTTTACCACCCTTTAATGCGGAATTCCAGGCAACCAATAATCACATGAAATACATATATGGGAACTGTTTTACCTTGAGGCTAGGTTCACACCTAGGCGATTGAGCCGGTATGCTGTTTTTGTGCGCTTGTCGCAAGTTTCTGTTTGCACGATTTTGCTTTGAAAACCGTGAGGTTGTCACACAGTTTTCAATTCATAGAGATGTTTATGGGACCCAAATTTCACGACAACCACCCCAAAAATAGCTCCTGCACCTTTTTGTGAGACAGGCGATTTCTACCGCGTGACAAATTGCAAAGGTATGTACAGCTTCCATAGACTTGAATGCAAATCTCTGTTTCTTTGCGATATCGCACGGCTAAATCTGCGCAACAAATCGCCTAGGTGTGAACCTAGCTTAGACCCCTTAGATCTGTTACAGCAAAGGAATACAGTATTGTCATCTCCATGTTCCATCAGGCTAATTGGACACTGAAGGTATAGTAGCAGAGTGATAAGGTCAACTCTCTGCTCACTCTGCTTTTTCCTCCTGCCAGTGTTACTTTTTTACCATATTTTGATGTTCACCTGATTGTCTCCAACTACTGCCCCTCCTTCCCCCAGTCTGCTTAGTACCATACAGGGGATTAGAAGCAGTGGCTACCAAGACATATTCAGCATGTCTTTTTATACCTGCCTGGAGTTCAGCTTTTATCCTGTCTTCAGAGAAAAAGTGTTTTCAAGGAATTATTTAGGTTTGAAAGTTATGAAAATGTATTGAATTTACTGTCTGAGCTAAAATATACTTTTTATACCTTGCATGCAGTAAGTTTTAATGCAGTTTTCTAGTTTTGCCCATAGGATCTGCTGAAGCTTTGAGGCCCACCTATGGACTGCTGTGTTCACTGTCTGTAATAATATGCCGAAGATGTTTGAAAGACCAAAGTATACAGGGCTCATAGATGTTAAAGAAAACTGAATGTATGATGTGAGCAATGTGTATGATGAGGTTTTATATGATGTACAGGTAATAAATATATAAATGTAAACACAAATGTGGAATGTGTACAGTCTTTCCTGACAGATAGAACAGACTTGATTCTTTAGAATTCTATCACACAAACCTCTAAAGTAACATGACATACTGTACGTGAAAAATACTTCGGTGGGGTGTTACTCCATCAGCCTATCAAAAATAATGTCTCCTTTATCAAACCACATTGTGCTAACATTTGACTGGCTGCTATTGGTTGCAGTATTTTGTCCATTATGCTTTCTCCTTTAACAGCCTTATTGAATGAACCCATGTACATGCACATACTCCTTTTAAAGCTGGTTTATTTATTTTTATTTTTTTAGGATACAGCACCAATCACATTAGTTACCTCTGATGGTGTATATCCAACCTCCTCCAGGCTTCTGATTTGTGCCAAAATCCTCCCCTCATACCTAAGAGTGACTATCTTCTGGTGCTTTGGGGGTTAACACCAGCGGATTATGAGTGTCATATAGTTTTACCGCTCACCTGCCCCTTCCTGCCCCCTTCTACATCCATAGAGCTCTGTGAATGGGCAGGGCAGATCCTGTCATTCATCCGCTCCTCCTAATTCTGCTTCTCCTCCATTCTGCTCTCCTCCATTCCGATTCTTCTCCAGTCTTCTCCTCCTCCTTCTACATTGTGCTCCTCCTCCATTGTACTCCTCCTCCATTACGCTTCTTCTCCATTCTTCTCCCCCTCCATTCTGCTCCTTCTCCACTCTGCTCCTACTCCATTACGCTCCTTCCCTTTGTTCCAGTACTGCAGCCTTCCTCGATACTTCTTTGGTATTTGACACCTTTGGGAGTGTCGAATGCCTCTTCTTCTTGTTGTTTGCCATGGACACTTCCTCCAACCCCTATATTAACATAGGGGGTCAAATGACTGAACCAGAGAGCATGACGGAGGACACAGGCATCCACTTGCCCTTGTCTTCCAGTGTGGCAGAGTTATGTAAATCGTTGTGAAAACAATTACACATTTTTGGCAGGTAAAACCTTTCACATATGTATTTCAACTCTATATTTTGCTGTTTGTCGGGAGTGTTATGCAACTGGTTTATAAGTAATGGTGATTTCTACAGAATGTACAGCAATAGGTTTTGTAACATACTTCAAATTTCCAGATACAGATGGCAGCTGTCCAAGCAGGTAAATGTATATAGCCAAAAGCTCCGACTTTCAAGATCGATTCACTATATCCACCAATCAGCTAGCCAATATGCTCCAATGATCCAACAAGGCTGTACTTATTTATTAAGAGGGTTAACCCTAGCATTTATTGGAATGTTATCTTTCTGGGGTGCAAACACCTTTTGTAATTTAGAGAAGCACCTATGTATTAGGTTTACTAAATGCTAAAAAAAAGAAGCTGGTTGTAAAATATTGAAACAAAAATAATTTTTTAAAAAGTCATCCGAAGCTCAACTTTCTGATCTTTTCCTGGGTGTGTTCTCAGTTGATTATAAGCAAGCATGAGTATTCCACTTCTCAGAATGTTGGGGATGTGACCTTCCATCATCAGTGAGCTACAAATTCTGTCTAGAAAACATGCAATCATGATAAAATCATAACATTTGCAATGTTTATGTATTTGGGTGAGTACTTGTAGTTGCCCAAATGCTCTGATGCCTAGCCCGATACCCGAACTTCCAATATCAGGTAGCCAGGCAGCCCGTCACTTCCTGATTGGCTGGGAAGCCGGCTCCATGCTTCCTCGTCACCTGGTGTAATGACTCACCGCCTAGCTTCCTGGTTGGACGGGAAACTGGCAAATCAGGAAGCCTGACGACGAGTCATTACCCACCCCCCGCCTCCTGATTGGCCATAAAGCCAGCTTCATGCTCCCTCGTCACCTGGTGACGAGGAAGGATGGAGACGGCTTCCCTGCTAATCGGTAAGCCGGGTGGCGAGCCATTACATGCTGCCTGGCTTCCTTAATGGGACTCCTGGTATCAGTATTTGATATCGGCGAATACCGAAGAAAAAATATCGGTACTTGTACTCGGTACCGGACAACTGGCATCGGTGCATCCCTAGAGGATACTTATATTTTTTCCTTCAGTCTGCATTTTTTTTTTCCATTCTGCCCAGAGTTCATGTTTAA